TTACAGTGACCCTGTATAAGGTTTCCAAGTAGCAGCAGGTGAGTTTGAAATACCAACATTGTGGTTCAAAGTGACCTTGAGGTCGAGTGTTTATCCTACAGTGTCACACCAGTACTCCTGACAATATAATAGTCAATGTGAATGTTATCTCTCTCAAAAACTATACATAGCATGATATTGTTTGAAAATAATTTTTTTAACAATTAAAATTAAAAAACTATGTATATGAAGAATATGTTGTTGTTAGGTGCCCTTGAGTAGGTTCCTACTCAGGTGACCCTGTGCACAAGAGAACAATGTTAGCAATTATGGCTAGAACTAGAATTTGTGTTAAGAGTAAAGGTTGAGCTAGGGCTAAGAATAAAGCTCAGTCTAGTTTTTAGGGTTAGAGTTTAGCTTAGTCTTATTTTTCTTCTTGAAATTTATTTGATTTCCTCTTCATTTGGAGTTTTATAATTTAAAAATTCTCTCTTTGTACTTTATGCTTTTGTTGATGTTATTGTTGGTATAACTGTATCTCTGGTTTTAAGTATTGTACATCTATTTTACTTTGCATACTTCTGTATCTGGGTGTGAACTCTGATGTGGGGCTGTAGGATAAACACTGGACTGCTAATTGCAAGGTTGATGGTTCAAACCTACTAGTCATTCCTTGGAAACTCTATATAGGGTCACTATGAGTCAGAAGTGACTCAACAGCTTTTAACATATCTGGGTTGCATCTAATGATACAGTTATGTATGTTCGTCTCAAGTTGTTGTCTGCTGTTGTTGGTTCTCTGGCCAAAGCACTACCATGAGAATTTTGTGTCAGGCTGGTCTGGTTTTTACAGATTCTTTTAATTTTTGTTTGTCTGAAAATGCCATAATATTGCTGTCATATTTGATGGACAGTTTTGACAGATATATGATTCTTGGTTGGCAATTTATTTCTTTTCAGAGTTTTATATATGTCATTCCATTGTCTTCTTGCCTGCATGATTTGTGCTGAGAAGTCAGAGTTCAGTTTCATTAATTGTCCTTTGTAGGTAACTTTTTTTTTTTTTTTTCCTGAAAGGCACTTCAGATTCTTTCCTTGTCTGTGGTTGTGAAAAGATTGATTATAATATGTTTTGGTGTTTTTCTTTTGGGTTCTGTCCTGTTTGAGGTTTGTTCAACTTCTTGATTGAATAATATCTTCTCATCTAGAATGATATTAAGGAAGTTTTCTTCCAACAACTCTTGAACAAGATCATCTATGTTTTTTGTATTGGTTTTTTTTTTTTTTTTTTTTTTTTTTTTTTTTTTTTTTTTTTTTTTTTTTTTTTTTTTTTTTTTTTTTTTTTTCTCTTTTTTTTGCCTCTTCCTGTTCTGGAATTCCTATCACATCCAAGTTTTTCCACTTGATTGTGTCTCACATAAATCCTAGGCTTTCTTCAGACATTTTTGCTCTTTCCTCTAGTTGTTCCACTGTTGTTTTGTTGAGTAGCTTCATGTCAGTTCTGACTCATAGTGGCCCTGTATTTAGGGTTTCTGAGACTGACTAGTGGCTTTGAACTGCCAACCTTGTGTTTACAAGTCCAATAGTAAACAGCACCACACCATGGCCCAGTAATTCAAATTCAGCAACTCTATTTTCCAGTGATTCAATTCTATTTATTTGCCTTTTTAGTGTATTATATCTATTTCTGAAGTTTTAATGTAAATCTTCTGGATGTCTAAATGCTGTTTTACATTGTCCTCATTTAAAATAAAATTACTTTATCATTTGTTTCCTGGTATTTTTCATACTTTTGCTTACGTTTTCCTTGATTTCGTCCATAGATTTCTTGATCCTTCTCTCAGTCTATTGAAGTTGCCTAATTAACATTCTTGTAAATAGTTCTGATACCATTTCTAGACTTATATTTTCTCACTCTGCATTTTGGTCACTTGTTTGAGGCACTCAGTCGTCTTTGTTTTTATGAGGTGCAATTGTGTTTTCTCCAAGACATAATGGTGTCATATTTATGTTTAATAGGTGATTGCATATTGATGTGTTCTCAAGCACATACCACCTATCTCCTGGTTGATGTGGAAGAAACCAAAAGAATGAATGCAGCTAGTTAATTGTCTGTCCACTGTTTCTACAGCATAGTTCAGGGTGGGTTCACCTGCCTCCAGAAGCAGGAACACTACCAGTTGTCCAACCCCAGCTATAGAGAAGGCTGCACAGGAGTGGATGACACTGTCTGCTCTGTCAATCCATCTTTCTGAGGGTCTTTTGGGTTCTGTCCTTTTTCCATGTGTCTCTATTTTTCCAAATATGATGACTTCTCCAGAGACTGGTCCATCCTCATAGTATGTCCTAAGTATGAGAGACAAAATGTCGCTATCCTCACGTCTTAGAAGCACTCTTGGCTGCACTTCTTCCAACTCAGATTTGTCTATTTTTCTGGATGCCCAACATTCTTTGCCAAAACTGTCATTCAAAAGCACTGATGCATCTCTGGTCTTCCCCATTTATTGCCCAACTTTCACATGCATATGAGTTCATTGAAAGTACTATGGATTGGGTCAGACATACCTTAGTCCACAAATTGACATATTTTGATTAGCCCTTTTAAGACCTCTTTAAAGAGCACATTGTAGTCACTTATTAAATAATGATTGAATGGGTTAATAAATTGAAAAAGTACCCTAAAGTTAATTCATAGTTCAAACTATTATTGAGAGTTTTAGAATTGTTTAAAATGTACAACTAGAAAGGATCTTCGAAAGTATTAACTTCAAAATCTTTTTTTTTTTTTTTAGTGGCATGCATGAAACATGAAAATGTTAGACTACTACATTTGTACAACATCTTTGGCATGTAATAAAAACATTATTTTAAATTCTGAGTACATATTCTTAAATCAAGTAGTATTCTGAAATAAGCAGAAACAGTAGCCTTCTTTATATCTTTATATTTTCTATGTATTCAAGACAAAAATGTTAATGTTCAACATTAAACAAGTCTTAAAAATAAAAATAATATAATTTAATCTTGCAATATAAGGACAAAGATAAATTGTGATTTTTGTCTTGAAGCATTAAATCTCATAGCCTGAAATTTAAGACTAAGCACTTAGAATTTAAATCAACAAATGGTACTTACAGAAAAGTCTGTCATACTTTTGCTGAGTCAGGCTATCACATTTTTGTGTGTCTGACGGATGTAGATGCTTCCATTCAAGAAATGACAAAGTGATCATTCCAAACTGATGTAATCCATCAAATCACATTTCTACTTTCAGCCAAGTATTAGCCCAAATGGTTTTAACAAAGAAGCATGGAAGATTGATTTATTCTAGGATTTTAACCAAAGATTAGCAAATCAATTCCCATGTTAATGTATCAAAAAGTGATAGACCCATAAAGTTCTCTTCTCGTTTCTGAATAACTGCAGAATAAAGTCATAAAAAATGCATATATACTACCTAAATGAATTGAGGCTCACTCACTCACTTCCAAAGTACTATCTCTCAATCCATTATACAAGCCAAAAAACTACAGTGAGACAGACCCATTCTGAAAAAAACGACAAAGATACAGTCTTTCCAATTAAGCTAGAGCTTTACTGCAATCCAAAGCAAACCCAGGATGTCCAAAATACTGTTTGAGCTTAGATTTTGGAAATGCTCTTTTATGCTTCCCTAAACCCCTTAGTGTGGCACTGTGGGTTAATGGGCCAGACTGCAAAGCTCTTTGGACTACAAGGTTGGCAGTGCAAGCTCACCAGCTGCTCCTCGGAAACCCTACGCAGGGTCGCTATGGGATGGAACCAACTCGACAGCACATAATAACAACAAACCTCATACAACTAGAGAGTATCAAAGTAATTCTGTTTATTATCATTTTATTACTAATAATAATATTAAAAATATCTATAATCTCAAAAGCAAAATACACTCATTAAGGAAATGAAAATCTAAATTTGGGAATTCAGATGCAATTTTCTAAAAGACACAAGCATTTCAACTGGGATGCAGTTAAATTCACTTTTTGTAATATTTATGAAGAAAACATTGCTAAGCAACAAATTAATTTTCTAAACCAGATTACAAGACAAAAATGCTCAATTTAATAAGAATAAAACTAATTTCAAGTACTCTTAATCCTTTAAAAAGCATTCAATTTTTAAGAATATTTCAGAAATAGAAGTATATGTTCAGATCTATTAGTCTATAAATAAAAAGCAGAGAAGAAATTATTTGTAATCATTTTGTAGGAATTAAACTTCTCATATTAAATTAATAAATCAGTATTTATGTATATAATTGTTTTAGGATGTTTCTCTTTAAAAGTCATTTTTACCTAATCATTGAAACTGATTCCCAATAGAGAAAAGTACTGAATTTCAATGACTTTAGAAAATACTTGAATTTGCCTTTTGCAACTAGACTGCAAGGTTGGTTTGAACTGCAAAGTCAGTGGTTCAAACTCATCAGCCATTCGTCAGAAACACTACACATGGTCGCTATGAGTTGGAACCGACTTGAAAGCACACAACAACAACAACAAACTAGCAGCCCACATGTTGAATCTTGCCACCAGCATGTTTTGCTTTTAATAAATTGTTTTTTGGTGTTGTTTGTTTGTTTTTGTTTTTTTATGGTACTTGAAAATCTTTAGAGGTCATGTAGAGTTCTATTTTGCTACTGTCCCCATTTCCTTCACACTTGTAACACTTCTAAGTTATTTGCTTGATGGCTAAAAGCTTAAAGCTTCTATTATTAGCTTGGATTGAAAATTGATCCAGTGTTTATCAAACTGGTCTACCTTATTGTCACAAAATGTTGGAATTAATGGAATTAGAAGGTATTTTAGCACCTTGCTAATTCTTATTTCTTCCTATAAGACATCTAAGGCCCAAAAAACCCAAATTGCTTAATGTAAATGACAAAATCTACCAAATGCTCTTCAAATTCATTAAGTGGAAATAAGTTTTATGTTAATGTTTCACATTTTGTCAAGGCCCATTTTCAAGTCCTCAGCACTTACCCCTCAGTGCAGGCAGCAGGGATCTCTCTTTCTTGTCATCACATTTGTTGCATTCACTGAAGTAGAGAAGTAAGAACACATCCACAAGAACCCACATCAACGAAGTGGCGAGAACCACCTTGCAGTAAACAAATCTCCTCATTTCTTTCTTTGATTTCTACTTAACACACAAATCGAAGACAGATGTGACTGTGAGAAATCCAAGCCACAAACTTGAAATCCAGAATAAAACCAGGATGCATCCCACTGTTAAAAAAAAAAGATGAAAAAAATATATCTATGGTAAATTTCATTTATTGTTCACTGCTTCTTTTTTATTACAGATATGTATTATAACATCTAATGTTTCCATATAAATAATCACTTTGACCTTGAAATCCAAAATTAAAATACCACATAAATGAAGGTTAAGCAAGCCAAGTGACTAATTTTCTACCATTTAATCCCAGATCTGCCAATACAAATCATTTGATTTCTTCAAGTTGCATCATCTTTACCTTAAAGTCCTGCCATGATACTCTTCACAGCATCAGACTGTCAAATAGGATGGTTCTATTTACCATGAATCTTCTGAAGAGCCAAAAATGCTAAAATCAAAATCATCTGGGGCTACGGTATACTAGAGTTTCTACAAGTTGGCATTTAGAAATAACAAACCTGGACCTTTCAACTTCCTAGCTGTGGAAGGAAGTCTTTCTAAGCCTCAATTTTCTCATCTGTAAAATGAGGATAATAATGTCTAAAGACTTGCTTTGATGATTAATGTATAATAGCATTTGGAAAACATCTTGAAGAGAACAGATAGTCATTAAGATATGAAATGGGGGAAAACTTTCTCAAATAGGCAGTCTCATGAAATAAATCAAGTTATTTAGCTTTAAAAACTCCATCTGGTCTGCACGGAAAGCATCCACAACAGATGTGTATTCTAGAATAGCTAGCATACATTCGAACATCTTAGCAGAGGAGAAACAACATATTAGTGCAAAGTGACTTAAAATAACCAGAACAAAATTTCTAAAAGGCATAACAAAGATATGCTCAAAAGTAAATAAAGAATTAATGCCTTATACAAATTTGCATTATTTGTAATACATGAGCAATATCTACATGGTTAACTACCTTCTATCTATATAATAAATAAATCAGACTAAAACTAAACTCATAAAATTTGCTACATTTAAAATACCATATGAGCTGTAAACTGATTGATGTGAATAAGACTTAGAATATATTTTTGACAGAAATATTTGGGAAGAATTGTTAATAAATACAAAGATACGAGGAATATTTCATAGACATGTGTCTCAAAATAAAAGCATCAGAGTACAATATGCTGAGGCAAAAACTCTTTAAATTAATTTCAGTTGACTTAGCATCATTAAGCAATGCAAAAGTTGCTGTCTACTACAGCCTTTCCAGAATAGTAGCAAATTCAAAATTCACAAAATATGACAATTAACAAAATAGCTATTATAGCAAAGTCTATTTTCAATCTCCATATAAGATTTCTATTCACTGGAAATATTAGTTTCTTTTCAAAAAACAAAGAAAGGATAAAAATATGCAAATCCAAAAAATACATGACATTTGGGGTTTGTTTGTTTCTTGCTTATTTGTTGCTTCTCTTTAAAAAAATGTGGCATGCTAATTACCTAGCTTGTTTTATTTCCATTTCACTGTCTATAAAAAGTATATTTAAATATTGGAACTCAACCTCTAAACCTGGTAACTAGGCAAGAATTTTCCCACATATATTTCTAATTACTTGTGTAAGCTTTTTTGAACTTGGAATGTAAAACAATTCAACCTGTCACATTTCTTTACCTGCCTTTGGCCCTAACATGGAGTAGTTCCCCTCAGTTAATTGTAGACAATATCCCATGGGAAGCTATATTGATATAAGATTATTGATGGTTACCTAATGATGACTCCCAGATTCTAGAGGATTCTATAATGGTCTTAGAAGATACAAACAGCACGACCCCTGGCTCTGTCATCAAATTATGAGATGACCTTAAGTAGTCATTTGGTCTCTCTGTGCTTCATTTCTTTCTTTCTTACATATTTCCTGTCTTACCTACTTCACACAATGTTGCTAGACTTAAGAATTATGCTGCTGCTGCTGTGAAATGCCATCAAGTCCAGTGATTCCGACCCATAGCGACCCTGTATAGGGTTTCCGAGGAGTAGCTGGTGAGCTTGAACCGCCGACCTTGCAGTTCAAACGGCTTTGCAGTCTGGTGCATTAACCCATAGCACCACACCAGGACTCCTTAAGAAGTATGTTGCTGTTGTTGTTGTTAAGTACTGTGAAGTCAGTTCCGACTCATAGTGACCCTGCACAGGGTTTCCGAGGCTGCAGATCTTTACGGGAGCAAAATGCCTCACCTTTCTCCCTCAGAACTGCTGGTAGTTTCGAACTGCTGACCTTGAGGTTGGCAGCCTGCTTCGTAACCACTACGTTTAAGAAGTATAGGGTAGGATAAAGTATATTTAAAAGAATATATGAGCCAGGGTGGCTGGAGCAAACCAGAAAGATGGCAGCCTTGACAACTGCTGGCAACGCAACAGTGTGGAATAAACAAGTTTATTTACTGAGAACACAGAACTCTCAAAATCAAAAATCTCTGAAGGGTGGTCCCCAGGATCTAGAAAGAGAACACCAAGTGCCTCCTCCCAAGAACACCTACAAAACTGAGGACCCAGAAACTCTCAGCAGGGTACCAATAGCATGGCCCAGAAATATGTTTAATTAAAGCACACAACAGTAAAAAACGTTGGACCATCTGCATCGCCAAGACCTGGTATTTGCTCAAAGCAGATAGAACAAGAGGAAAAGAGAAGGGACAAAAAAAGAAAAACAAAGAGAAAAATAGAAATCCTATGTTGCTTTAGTTAGTATCAAGAGTGATATGCTGTAGTTGCTATACAAAGGTAAATCCAAAAGCATTGTTATGATATCACAGAAACCAACATAAGTTTATTAAACAAAAATACTTTAAAAAAAATACTTTAAGATATTATTCTAACAGAAAATCTGGAATCACCAAAATAACTTACTATTAAATATTAAAATGCCTAAGTCAAGTCAATTTCTAACAAGAGCCTAATAGTTGAGGTTCTGGAGAATTTAAAGTACAGTTATGATAGAAAATCAGAGCATCTTATTGTCATTTCAGGCATTATTTAAATTATGCTTATTTCATAGCCTGATGTAGCTATAAACCAAGACATTAATTCTGAGTAGTCTAGCTTTTCTATTTTTTGAGACATACCTAAGCTGTTGTTTGCATTGTCTTATTTATAAAACAGTCTTTCCTTACATATTTCAAGTTTCTAATTATTTACCTATATCTGTACCCTGAAAATAGGCTACTTTCTCATCCACAAGGATCTTATCCTCTGACACTAATAAAATATAAATGCCATGTATTATGTTCTAACACTCTGTTTCTTATGAGGACAGAACTGATTGAGCAGAATGATGGTCCAGTATAAACAAGAACACTAACCAACATAAGCACAGTTGGTGGACCAGGCTTATTTAAGAGATCCAGCATCTGTATTATGTTTTTATTCCAGCAAGCCCCTTTTTATTTGCAAATACTATTGTTTCTCAAGCAGTTAGGGAATCCAAGCTCTGTACTGTCACTGGTTTGCAAAGCCCACATGAAGCACAATCAATTTGCATAACTACAAGTCCTTCTACCCACAACTACAATCAATTTCTAATTGTTACAAATACCTTTGGATAACAGTTATTTCCCTCATCAAAAATATTTCTCTAAATAGGAGAACTAGAAAATTATTAAGTACCATTTTACTTCTTATTAGCCACATAACCATTCTCTTTTCTCTTTTTGTTTACTGAATAATGACATAAACCACATATATTCTGTCAAATATTACAGGATTTTTACTTGAAAATATGTAGCTATTTATCAAATAATAATTTAAAAAATTATTATAAAATAAAATCTAGCTAAGTTTAGTGTTTTAGTAGACATGCTTTTAAAGTAAGAAGAAAAAATGGGGGGGGTCATTTAGGGGGATGATTTAATTAGGCGGTCATCTCTAAAAACCCATAAACTTACCCTGTGAGTCTAGTTGAATTATTTCTAGGTACACTTCTTTTTGTGTTTTTATCTATAGTCATATATTTCCTTTTGTATGAAATTACATAACAGGTACACATTTTTCAGTCTTTTTTATAAAAGTGCACTTGAGACGACCAAAGAACTCCGGAAGCTAGTGTAAGTCTGCTGGTAGTGCTCCCAGAAGTTTCAGACACCCAACCACTTACAGGGTTTTAAATAGCTCTGCAGGCGCTTCTGTGAGCTGATGACTGGACAGTTTTGCAGAGCTTAGTTTATGGACTGATAAATCTAGTGAATAGGCACTGAAAAATGCTCTGAATTCACTCCAAGTTGATTGATACAAAAAGACTGATCTTTGTATGAATGCAGATTAAGAATTAAGGTACAGGAGAGAAATCCACTCACAGCCAGTGGTAAGCTATAAAGCCATACTATATCAAAAGATAGACTAAAAGACAAAGATAATGTATCGTGAACACTTTTTGTGTGGAAAGATGTTAGAATAAAAACAATAAAGTGCACTCAAACATTTAACTAGCCCCAAACCCAAAAAAAACCCAAGTCCCCTGCCATCAAAGTCAATGCCAACTCAATGATTCTATAGGGCAAAGCAGAACTGCCACATAGAGTTTCTAAGGAGCTCTGGTGGCTCTGTGAGTTACGCATTAGGCTGCTAACCACAGCGTCAGTTGTTAAAACTCACCAGCTGCTCTACAAGAGAGAGAGGCTTCTGTCTGCTCCTATAAAGATTTACAGTCTCAGAAACCATAAATAGAATTTTTATGAGTTGAAATTGACTCTATGGCAGTGGGTTTGGGGTTTATTCTTTAAAATCTTTATGGAAGCAGACCACCACATCTTTCTGCAGAGGATCAGCTGATGGGTTTGAACCACTGACCTTTCAGTTACCAGCCAAGTGCTCTAAGAATCATACCACTAGAGCTCCTTACAGTCAACTAAGGAAAGGTTGAACATTCCAACCATCACATTTTCCCATTAGGAAACAGTCTATCATAAACTTTTAAAAAAGTGTTGTAGCATTTTAATGCCATAATTTGTATATAGGGTCCAACAATCACAAATTAGAATACTTAATTCAAGTTATATGAATGCTATATGCTTCAGCTTCCCTATTCATAAAATGTG